GTTGAAGTTGAAGCTTTCGCCTTTCCTCGTCGATTTGAAAATGTGCAGTGATTCGAAGCTCTCGCGGCTCTGCCGTTTGGTCGATGAGTGTCTCCGTCCGTACACTGTACGTTTCTCCCTACTCTATGATTAGGGTTTCATTTCATTGGTTGTTTCAGAAGCTCAATTCTCTGTTGCTTTGCAGGAATCCGGTGTCGTTTTGGTGACCAAAGAGCGAGAAATCCTGGTCACTCTCTCTCAGCTTCTTCGACAAGTCAAGCTCTTGACCCAAGCACTTGAATCCGACTCTGATAATGTCAGTCTCTCTCTCTCTAAAAACTTCAAATTTGACTTTTTTGGATAAAACCCCAATGAAAGGCGTAAACTTTGGAGTGTTTATCTTCTGTTAATCCTTGTGATCAGGGCCCGGTGATAGGATTGGATTGCGAGAGTGATTGCATGTGTCTAACTAAAATCGTAACTCACTTGGTAAGTTCAGCTTCTTATTTCCAAGTAAATAATTTTTTGTGGACATTTCGGAGTACATAAATGATTGAGCTTAAAATTTTGTTGCTTTTTCAACAGGTAGTTTTGCTGACAGTGGAGAGTCAATATGTCAAGCATCTGACGTGCAATGTTCTAGTTGCTGTCTCAGAATTCCTTGCTGCTTCGGTATTTTACAACTTTACTCCCTTAGAGATTGTATTTTTGTAAGTATGGTTGTTTATTTGGGTTTTGTGCTTCATTTTCTTACCTATATGTGTTTTGTAGGGAAGGAACTGGGGTGCCTTTATTCATTTGTTGTGTGTTTGTATGGATTTGGCGATCACTGTGGCGATTCAATGTACTTCATCACATTTGACAACTGAAGCTGATGATCTTCACTCTGGTTCATCAAGTTTAGTTCTTGTGTTAAAACCTAATCTGGAAAATGCTGACTCGTCTGTTGCAGCTGGTGTTGTTCGAGTTTTACGTGATATACGTAAATATTTGAAGTCGGAAGATGATGATGAACTTGTTGAACTGTTCTTTGATAATGTCAATTCTGTTCTTTCAACTGTCTCTTGGAATTTATTACAAGGGATTCATGTTGGACCAAATGTTGATGCTCAGAAAAGCTCTGGTGCAGATGTTTTATTTCAAAGATCGTTGTTTCTGGGAAACTTGGTTCAGTTTCTCTGTTCCTTGGCTGAGCAAAGTGGTTCTATGGAAGCTGCAAGTGGATCTGTAGATAAGCATCATCCAATTATTTCTACAATCATCAACCTTGTACCCAAGCTTTTATGTTGGTGCCTTGGTGAGCAAGCAGATTGTGTTAACTTTAACAAGTGCATCTCTCAATACTTTAGACACAAGTTATTGGTATGAGTTAGCCTGAGTCTTTTCTTTGTGAATAATGAATGTGCAGAAGTTAACTTTTGATGGTCAGAAGATCTTACAAATGTTGGTTCTGATTCTAAGCCGAAAATCTAAGCATGGACCAAGTGTTTGATGTCATAATGCATTGATAACTGTCTAACATTTGCTATTTGAAAAGGTCTTAAGCAACAGGCCTTACTGTTAGTACTGTTATTTTCCGGGGATGAAGGCTTAATTGAGTTGGGCTGATTAATACCTAGAATTCTAAATCCTTCAATCTAACGCAATCAGAACTAATTATGATGCTAGAGTGTTATCTAGGCATTCATTGTAGAGACGCTAGTGAAGATTTGTTTCTTCTTTTTGAAAAATTAATCTCTCATAGAACAATTTCCTTTGTATTTTATTATGAGAATTTTATATGTTAGCTTTCTTTGTAATCCTTATAGTTTTGCAGTGACACTTATATAAATTTACAAAAAGAAATGCACCAGATCCTTTGTGAATGTTATATTTTATATGTGATGATTTTATTAAAGACATGCTTCTTGACTAGTTTTTACAACAATTAGCTGGGAATGTGAGGTGTTTGTGGATATATATTAGATTATTTCTTACGCTTGTGTGATGCACTGTACGGAATTTGATCATAAGTATACTGTGCTAAACATGTCCTGCAGGTGCTCATGATCAGGCTCATTTTCCAAACTTGTCAGGAATTCTCAATTCTTGTTTCATGGTTGCAACTTATTCATAAGTACTTTGAAGACCTTTTACAGAAACCCATTACTCTTGAGAATGATCAGGATGATTGTCTGGAAGGCTCTCCGTTTCTTTCCAGTGTTTCTGATGCAGAAGTAAATAGTCTGTCTTCTCGCCATCTGCAAAGACAGGCTGTTTTCCTTTTCCTGAGGTGTTCTTTTAGCTTGATTAGCACAAAAGGAGGCACTAACAAGAAATGCGCTTGTACAACTTGGAACTTACACTTGACCTGTGATTCAAATGCAGAGCTTCTGTGTTGTGGGAGAAAGAAAGGTCTCTTGGAGCTTTATAACTGGCTTCAAGGGCATCTTCCAGCTAATATGACAGTGGACCATGAAATGTATTTTGTAGAATGTGTTGACTTTGCCAAATCCTTCGTCCAACTGTATATCAAAGAGGTATGTCTTCTTTATCTTTGAAACTAGGAGTTTTTTTGTCTATGTTTATATGCGACATGATATAAGCAAAATAGGCAACCTATTCACCCCAGACCCAAAAAAAGAAAAATTGCATCCATATTTTGTTTTGTCTATCTGAATGCATCATCTTGTTCAACAATTTCGCATACTAAAATTCTGCAGTTCTGTATTCTTCATTTGTTGTATTTCTTTTGCAGTTTTTTAGACTCATGTCCTCATTTCTTGCCTTGTTTTTGAACTGTAGGATGATGTATTATTTAAAGTGCTCTTGCAACTGCTTTGTGTACCTTGTTGTGCAGAAGAACAGTAAGGAATTAATATCCTAGTTTTCCATTGTTCTAAAAGTTATCGTCATGGATTCCTTTTAACAAGATTTTTGGGTTTATATAGGGATGAAAAGGAAAAGGTTGCATTTGAGGATTCAAATGGCAATATACTTTTACGTGTCTCAGATCTTTTCAATCCTATACTCTTGTTCCATCTTTTCCTATTAGAGGCAAGATGCTCACTGTTGGACATTTACATATCTGCATTTCCACTTCGGCATGCCTCCTGGTTGTTAATTTGAAGTATATGGTATTGCAGAATAAAAAGGAATCACTGACATTGTGCACTTTCTTTTTTCTTCCTATTTTGCAGTTGAGCTATGACCATCAGGTGCTTCTTGATTACCTTATTTCAAAAGATACTGGAATCAGTTGTGCAGAATATCTTTTAAGGTCTTTTCTCTTTCTATGCCTTCTCTTAACTTATGAAATCAAACCGTGGTGGGCTGCATTTTTCTGGTGTCAACCTCGGTGAACTAAACTATAAAACATTAACCCTCTGCTTTTACACGACTTCTTAACCAATTAGCAAAACAAGAATCAATTTGTTTGACCCCAGACAGTTGCTTTTAATTGCAACTCATTGTATCTTTGCTTTGCTTCTTACCGTCCTTAATGCACTCTTATAGGTGCTTGCGTAAAGTGTGTGATTCATGGAGCTTATTTGTGGAATTTCTAGTGGGTGGGCAAGCTACAAATCAATCATTTTGCAAGAAAAGAAAAGTTTCATTGGGTGGCTCGAGTTCCTGGGGAGAGGATTCTCTTGCACCAACGAAAAATCATCTCACATTTCTTGATGATGAACCTGATGAAGAAAATGAAAATGGCTGCAAGCACACCCAAAATGGAGGACAGTATTTCAAAGAAGCCAAAGAGTGCTTACTTTCACTAAAAATTTCTATTGAAGGTCTACACCAAAAGAATCTGTTTCCTTACAATCCTAATGTTCTTCTCAACCGGTGCGTCTCTTTGAAATGAGTTTTATTATGCTTCCCAGTAAACTAGTGATTGCTCTTAATATAGAGTTTGATTTTATTTTGAATTTACTGCAGTCAACTTCTTTCTTTCACTTTTAGTTTCATTCATTCCTCGTGAACGGGACTTATCCAAACTAAACTGGTTGCTCTTTGCTTGCAGCTTAACAAGATTTCAGGAACTCTGTTTTGAGGAAGAGAAATAAACTTCTAAAAGAATGAACTTATCAGCACAGATTTTTGCAGAGCATCATTTACTCCTTCGAGTTGAAGTGATAAAATGAGATCTTGCCAACCAGTGAGGCCAAGTCTCGACGAAAACTCTTTGAGTTTCTTTGAGTCAGGCAACTGGGCCAGAGTCAGACAATGCTGGAAAAAGTGCTTCGAGATCCTCATGACTCTTTGAGGCCATATATGGAGATCTTTTAGAAGTGAATGCACTTTGTGGATGAGCGTTGTTACGTTGAGCAGTGAAGGAATAGAAGAACAAGCTTTGTAATTAAGGTAATTTAGATTCTATGTATAGAATTTTCATTTTTTTCCCCAACAAGGATATGCGAAGAAATCTAATTCGTAGCATATTTAAATCCACGAGATGAAGTCAAAGTGATAAATGGTTCTGATCACATGTTCATGTTTGTTGTCTAGACCAGTAAAGCTGTTCTCCCACCTGCTAATGCACTATACGTATTCGATATGAATAAACTATTGTCAAAGAAAATCACTTGATATTGGTGTAAATGAATTCTTCTATCCAAACTATACGAGCTGCCAGAGACAGATAGAAAAGGACTTAACCTAATCACAAATATAAAATTAAAGGTTCCTTGAAGCCGAGAGAGAAGGATGAGTTAGGTATTATATATGTATGCAGTGTCAAAACTGATAAAAGAAGACCCCAACAATAAGTCTTGTCATTTCAAAACATAAACTTCTGGTTTGTTTTTCCTTGTTACTTGGCATAATGGCAAGAACAACGGTATAGGAATCGCCAATTAATCTGTTTATTAACATTCGGTGAACAAAACTTGGTGAACAAATTTGGTGACTGTAGAAGTACTGGTACAAAAATTCAACAATTGAAAATATATGGATTTACTAATTATAATATGTTACAGGTTAGTAGTAGATTGGAATTTATGGACTCTCAATATTGATTTGATAAAGGACTCAAACAACCCTCCAACATCGGCAATTTTTAATCCCCAACGTATGGCTTCAGTGTTGTACCAGCTGTCGCCACCAGAGGTAAATCTTGAGGAAAAAAATGCGAGAATTTGAGATATATGATATATCCATACTATTATATAAACTTGGAAAATGTCAATTATAATTCACATTTTCAGTAATTAAAACAAATCTAAATCTAAATTTTAAAATGAGTTATTAACTGTAATGATTCCTGAATTTATATCCAAGTTTCATTTTGGTATTCCAACTCGTTTTTTAGTTTTTGTCGTCCTTCCTCTATCTATCCCACGCATTCCAATTTCGTGATTTAGTCAAATTTCATCAATTAATTGGTCTATTAGATTAGATAATCAAAGTGGGTATAAATTTAGAAACCATAACGGTTAAAAACAACCCTATTAAAATTAAGGCTGCCATAGTTATTATGCCCATTTTATGCTGTGGAGGAGTCAGTCTACATCCATCTAGGTTCAATTTTCCAATTGCTTAAGCTTCTACATGTCCTTTTTTTTTTCTTTCATTTGTTTATTTATTTTTTATTTGGATGTCAACAGGACTTAGCACTGGCATTGTCATCGCTGAGATTTTTCCCTCTCTTTGATGAGGAAATAAAACTCACCAAGGAGAAATATGGGTCGGTTCCCAGAGTATATATCGTGTGCGACCAAGACCTTACCATTGGGGAGGATGTACAACGGTGGATGATCAAGGAAAGTCCTCCACATGAAATCAAAATGATAAACGACTCTGATCATATGCTCATGTTCTCCAAACCGTAGGAATTCTTCTCCACCCTCCAAGAGATTTCTGATCAATATTCTTGAACATCGTGAGCACCTGATAAATTAGCTAGGAGCTTGTCATCATTATAGATGATGCAGTTATACTAGCTAGCCTTTCTGACCCACTAGGGCCTGTTTGATAATCATTTCAATTTTAGTTTTTAGTTTTCATTTTTTGTGCTAGAGTATAGAGGAAAATGAGAGTGAGGATGAGATTGAGAGAGAGGAGGATAGGGCAGGATGAGAGGGAGGAGTGATAAAAGTGAAAACAAAAACTTGAAAGTGAAAACAATTTGAAATAAATTTTAGTTTTTAGTTTTTGTTTTCACTTTTGTTACTCCTCCCTCCCATCATCTCCTCTCATCTTCCCTCTCAATCCCATATGCACTCTCATTCTCACTTCCATTCTCCCTCTTTTTCCTCTATACTCTAGCATGAAAAATGAAAACTAAAAACCAAAATTGAAATGATTATCAAACAGGCCCTAAAATTGTGAAAAATAGATACGCCAACTAGTTGGTGTAATAAATTCCATAATAAGTATTTAAGTTAAGAATTGGTTACATACTTCTAATCTCGGTCATTGGATTGCATCTAAGAGAATACAAACACATTTAATGAATGTAATCCAACGGCTAAAATTAGAAGTATGTAACTAACTCTTAACCAAAAAAACAAAAAACTTATTGAAGAATCTCCCATATCGAAAAAATATATATAACAGTGTGCTATTAATCTCATGTAATCTTTTCTTTTTGGGGAATAATGCTTTTTTTTTTTATAGATTGTATGATATCATAGATGAGCCTTTATTTGAGGAAATAATTAAAAGTGAAATAGTTTGCAGAAATTTCCTCCTAATGATGCACATATGTAGTTTACCAAACAAATAGAAGTAAAATATTTTGCACAACTCTTTTCCTTAAATCTCCGCTCGTTGACCAAGAGAAAATTTGCAATCCTGCTTCCTTTAAGACTTTCTTTTTGAGGAGTCGGCGTGCACCTCAGACTACAAAAATGAGAACAATAAAGTTGAATATTGGACATCAATGTCTTCTTAATTTTGCTAACTCAACAGCCAACGGCCGAGTGGAAAAAGGGCCTTTATTTGCATATTAGAGGTCTCAGGTTTGAACCCCTTATAACATCTTGGTTGTGTGTGTGAAAAATATCTCCTTCCCTGTAATTTAGACTATCGCTTGTACTAAAAAAAATTGCTACCTCAACAACTTAAATACCCCTAGGGCACTTACTTAGCACTATTGAATTATACAGAATTGCATGGATGTTCTTGAATTTTCCAAAATAAATAAAGGTCGTAATTCCTATCATTCTTAAAAATGAGAAAAATAAATTCCTTGACGTGGGATTAAGACAAACTCAAGGCCGGCTTTCCACTACTAGGCGGCTAAAACAATAACAAGGGGAACACTAGAGATACACTCCAACATATTACAATAAAACTAAGACTATACCAAATGCCAAGCAAAGATTGATAAATTAAATAACAAGGAGCATATGTGATCAGCTGAGCATTTTGAGTATTTCGTTTTATTTGTTTGCCTTTAAGAAGCATTTTGTGCTAGTTCATGGAGCTAGCCATGGAGCATGGTGTTGTTGTCAACTCTATTTAGTTGATACATCAAATAACTAAACGATCTCGAATTTGATTGAGTTTTTGCACATATGATCTTTAAATAGTGATTTAAAAGATGAATGATTTAGATGATGACACGTTTATTGTGAAGATTACTTAATCACACCACATTAAAACCTCTCAGGACACCCAAGCACCCAAAACCTTACAAAAGGTCAGTTCATGATGCAAAGGACTCAAAAAAGATTATACACAAAAAGAGTGACACGTGAATGCATAGTATGGGTGTGGACAATCTGGCAGCCTCACCGCATTTTGTATGGATAGCGTTTATCTTGAGCAAGCTCATTCATAAATGTCTAAACTTTTGTGAAAGATAAAATCAATCAAAATCAATGAATTTGTCCTTTTGTTTTCAGAGAAGATTCAAAATGGACTTGGAGAATTATGACTTTGCCACTCAGGGAGGAATAACTACCATTCAAAATGGACTTGTGAAATATATATAGGCCAAGAAAAGAGGCCAAAAACCTTAGAATTTTCAGTCTCTCTTTGCTCACTAAGAATGTGTTCTCGATCTCCAAACCCAGAAGCCCAAAAGAAGCATTTTTTGCTGGTTCATGGAGCTGGCCATGGGGCATGGTGTTGGTACAAGTTGTCAGCTCTGCTCATCTCTGCAAGCCACCATGTTACAGCTCTAGACCTAGCAGCATCTGGAGACAACCCAAAACAGATAAATCAAGTCCATTGCTTGGCGGACTATGTTGAGCCGTTGATTGAATTCATGGAGTCTCTCCCACCAGAGGATAGGGTTATCTTGGTCGGCCATAGCATGGGTGGGGCCTGCATATCTATTGCCATGGAGAGGTTCCCTGAGAAAATATCTGTTGCTGTATTTGTCTCCGCTTTGATGCCTGGCCCTACTTTGAGTTACTTGACCACAGGTAAAGAGGTATAGTTATCAGTTCCACACATATACCCTTTTGTTTAATTTTTTCCATATACCCTTGAAAATATATTTACTAATAATAATATGTTACAGGTTGGTAGTAGATTGGAATTAAAGGATTCTGAATATAGATATGATAAAGGACCCAACAACCCTCCAACATCGGGAATTATTGGTCCCCAACGTATGACTTCAATGTTCTACCAGCTCTCCCCCCCAGAGGTAAATTTTGAGGGAAAAAGGCGAGAAATTGGTTGAGATATATCTATACTATTATATAAACTTGGAAAACGTCAATTATTTCCATTTTAAGTAAAACAAATCTAAATCTAGAATTTAAAATGGGTTATTTACTGCAATGGTTCCTGAATTTATACCCGAGTTTCATTTTGGTATTCCAACTCGTTTTTTAGTTTATGTCGTCCTCCCTCTATCTCATGCGTTCCAATTTCATCATTCAGTCAAATTTGGTAAATTTTTCCGTCTATTGGTGAAACTCGGGTATAAATTTAGAAACTATGATGGTTTAAAAAAAAATAAAGGTGGACCCAGGAATATTTGTAGGGATAGGCAAAATTTATTTTTTTTGGGGTAAATTATAAGCCCCTGTTTGTTACAATTTGTTTTTTAATAAGAACTTTTTTTTCAATATATTTTCTTCATTATATTTAGAACTTTTTGTTATTATATGACATTTGCAACAGAAAAAATATTGGAATTATTGATAATATTATTGAAATATTTGGAAGAGATTAAAGGGAAACAAAGAAAGAAAGAAATTTTTTTTTGTCCATGGCGGGCTGATTTATTTCTTTGATTGGTCTAGATTGAGCCCTACATGATAAGCCTAATCTCAAAGTGAGCACATGCTAGCCTATTCGTGCATCCGCCCTTGGAAAAAACCCTATTAAAATTAAGGGTGCTATAGTAATTATGCCATTTTATGCATGTGGAGGAGTCAATTCTACATCCATCTAGGTTCAATTTTCCAAATTGGTTAAGCTTCTACGTTTCCACTTTTTTCTTTAATTTGTTTATTTAGTTTTGATTTGGATGTCAACAGGATTTAGCACTGGCGTTGTCATCGCTGAGATATTTCCCTCTCTTTGACGAGGAAATAAAACTCACCAAAGAGAAATATGGGTTGGTTCGTAGAGTATATATCGTGTGCGACCAAGACCTTGCCATAGGGGAGGATGTGCAACGGTGGATGATCAAGGAAAATCCTCCACATGAAGTCAAAGTGATCAATGGTTCTGATCATATGCCCATGTTCTCCAAACCGCAGGAATTCTTCTCCACCCTCCAAGAGATTTCTGAAAAATATTCCTAAACATCGTAAGCACCCACCTGATAAACTATAGCCAGGAGCTTGTCGTCATTGTATAGATAGATGCAGTCCAACCAAAGTCGTCTCCTACAACATATGTTTTCTGCGAAGCTTCTAGTGTACGTAACAATATTGCTGTTGTTGCCACCCTTAGCAAAAGAACGGTGAAGTTCATTATATCTGTACCCTATATAGGGAAATATGTATATATGTATGTATCAAATGCCTTGTCACAATTTACATGACTGTATAAGCCAACTTTCCGGCAGCTATGTGGGTCGCCTAACCCCTCTTGTCCTTCTGTATCTGCCAGTGATAGATTGAAAAGAATACGCGACAACTATTTGTTGAGTTTATGCTTTTTAAGTTTTTATTTTGGCTTCCCTTGACAATATTGTAATAGGACATACATTGTAATTACCCAAGCTCAAGTTTAGTTTAAGAATAGTTTCTCTAAGTATTTTTATCTGGCTGCTATCTTATGGAAGATCAATCATATTGGCAAAGATAATTTGTGCATTGCATCATATTGCATTCATTATATTTCTTAAGATTATGACTAGTCATCTTGTTTTTGTATGACTAGTCAACTTTTGCATCAGCAAGTTTTCCAGCTCATTGGTTTTCAGCTAGATCCTACCAAACCTTTTTGTCCTATTCTACGAATTTTCTCAGCTGTCATGTGTACTATTCGGAATTTTTGGGTAAAAGCCAAATGATTCCTCATTTGGCAGCCCTCACTTTTGAGGTGAGTTTTTGAAAAAGTTTCTTCCATCCTTTTGCTCTCTCTTCGTCCAACTGTATATCAAAGAGGTATGTCTTCTTTATCTTTGAAACTAGGAGTTTTTTTGTCTATGTTTATATGCGACATGATATAAGCAAAATAGGCAACCTATTCACCCCAGACCCAAAAAAAGAAAAATTGCATCCATATTTTGTTTTGTCTATCTGAATGCATCATCTTGTTCAACAATTTCGCATACTAAAATTCTGCAGTTCTGTATTCTTCATTTGTTGTATTTCTTTTGCAGTTTTTTAGACTCATGTCCTCATTTCTTGCCTTGTTTTTGAACTGTAGGATGATGTATTATTCAAAGTGCTCTTGCAACTGCTTTGTGTATACCTTGTTGTGCAGAAGAACAGTAAGGAATTAATATCCTAGTTTTCCATTGTTTTAAAAGTGATCGTCATGGATTCCTTTTAACAAGATTTTTGGGTTTATATAGGGATGAAAAGGAAAAGGTTGCATTGGAGGATTCGAATGCCAATTTACTTTTTCGTGTCTCAGATCTTTTCAATCCTGTACTCTTGTTCCATCTTTTCCTATTAGAGGCAAGATGCTCACTGTTGGACATTTACATATCAGCATTTCCACTTCGGCATGCCTCCTAGTTGTTAATTTGAAGTATATGGTATTGCAGAATAAAAAGGAATCACTGACATTGTGCACTTTCTTTTTTCTTCCTTTTTTGCAGTTGAGCTATGACCATCAGGTGCTTCTTGATTACCTTATTTCAAAAGATACCGGAATCAGTTGTGCAGAATATCTTTTAAGGTATTTTCTCTTTCTACGCCTTCTCTTAACTTATGGAATCTAAACCGTGGTGGCTGCATTTTTCTGGTGTTGACCTCGGTGAACTAAACTATAAGACATTAACCCTCTGTTTTTACACGACTTCTTAACTAATTAGCAAAACAAGAATCAATTTGGTTGACCCTAGACAGTTGCTTTTAATTGCAACTCGTTGTATCTTTCATTTGCTTCTTACCGTCCTTAATGCATTCTCTTTTAGGTGCTTGCGTAAAGTGTGTGATTCATGGAGCTTATTTGTGGAATTTCTAGTGGGTGGGCAAGCTACAAATCAATCATTTTGCAAGAAAAGAAAAGTTTCATTGGGTGGCTCGAGTTCCTGGGGAGAGTATTCTCTTGCACCAACGAAAAACCATCTTACATTTCTTGATGATGAACCTGATGAAGAAAATGAAAATGGCTGCAAGCACACCCAAAATGAATTTCATTATGCTTCCCAGTAAACTAGTGATTGCTCTTACTATAGGTTTTGATTTTATTTTGAATTTACTACAGTCAACTTCTTTCTTTCATTTTTAGTTTCATTCGTTCCTCGTGATCGTGACTTATCCAAACTAAACTGGTTGCTCTTTGCTTGCAGCTTAACAAGATTTCAGGAACTCTGTTTTGGGGAAGAGAAATAAACTTCTAAAAGAATGAACTTATCAGCACAGATTTTTGCAGAGCATCATTTATTCCTTTGAGTTGAAGTGATAAAATGAGATCTTGCCAACCAGTGAGGCCAAGTCTTGACGAAAACTCTTTGAGTTTCTTTGAGTCAGGCAACTGGGCCACAGTCAGACAGCTGGAAAGAGTGCTTTGAGAGCCTCATGACTCTTTGAGGCCATATATGGAGATTTTTAAGAAGTGAATGCACTTTGTGGATGAACGTTGTTACTGTGGGAACCGAATTAAATCACCCTAGGTCAAATAATTCCTTCCATTTGGGGATTATTTGACCTAATTGGGAGTTACTCAATTTAATTGGGAGTTACCCAATTAAATTGGCAATTACCTAATTAAAATGGGGATTGATTTGATTCCTACCCTAATTAGGGATTTGATTTAAATCAAATAAATCAAATCCCTAATTAATCAAATCTCACCTAATCATGGAGGAATAATTCCTTTCCTTCTACGGAATTATTCCTCTGAAACCCTAGCCTCCGAGGCCCCTATAAATACCTAGCTACACACAAGGGTTAAGGTACGTCTAAATTCCTACTGAAACTCTGCAGAAATTATCTTTCACAAACCCTAGCCACCATCTTCTTTCTCTCTCTCTCTCACACAAGGCTCCGGCCTCCACACACGGCTCCGGCCACCCGGTTTTCCTTGAAACACCCATTCTAACTTAGGCATCGAAGGGCCTTTGGCCAACACCCCCCGGGTGTGGTCCTTTTACTCTGATCTGTTTTGCAGGGAGAGAGAGGTGCGAAGAAGACGAAGGAATCTTTAGGCGAATATAATCATGGAGGAAATTTGCTCCCACAGTTACTACGCTACCCAATAGAAGAACAAGCTTTGTAGTTAAGATAATTTAGATTCTATGTATAGAATTTCCAATTGTTTTCCTCAACAAGGATATGGGAAGAAATCTAATTCGTAGCGTAGTTAAATCCACCAGATGAAGTCAAAGTGATAAACGGTTCTGATCACGTGTTCATGTGTGTTGTCTAGACCTTCAGAATATTGCTAAAAAAATACTCTTAAACATGAGTACCTGCTAATGCACTATACATATTCGATACGAATAAACTATTGTCAAAGAAAATCACCTGATGTTAGTGTAAATTAATTCTATCCAAACTATACCAGCTGCCAGAGAAAGATAGAAAAGGACTTTACCAAATCTCAAGTCTTCCTAATCTCAATTGTCAAAGAAAACTATACCTGATATTGATGTACCCCAAGTCTTCCTTATTATCTCAAACATTCTTCTCATTTCAAAATATAAGCTGGTTTCTTTTTCCTTGTTACTTGGCATGATGGCAAGAACAACGTTATAGGAATCGCTAATTAATCTGTTTACTAAATTTTGCATATACACATAAATATTTCGTTAGAAAAATGAGGTTCAAAATAAGCTCACATTGGAATATTATCATTCGGTGAAACAAATTTGTTCCGTAGCAGTATTGGTACAAAAATTCAACAATTGATTTTTCTTTTATTGCATAAGATAATAGTTTCTCCCTTTTGATAAAATATTTTCTTAATAATTTTTAAAAAAAACACTGGACAAGCACCATGCACTTGCCAGTAGGGTTCCTCCCTTTTGATAAAATATTATCAAGGAAAATCCTCCGCATGAAGAGAAAGTGATAAATGGTGCTGATCATATGCGCTCATGTTCTCCAAAACGATGGAGCTCTTCTCCCACCTCCACAATATTACTGAGAAATACGCTCATGATGGTGCACCTGATAAGCAGCTAGGAGCTAATTATCATCATTGTTCAGATTGTGATGCAATATATATATAATTTGGATAAAGTTCTATCAAATAAATCAGTTAATTCCATCCATTCAAGCTCAACAAATTCAACACTACGGAGTTGAAAGAAAAAGAGCAACGACAAACCAAATATTGAATAGAAATAACGCCGGGTAAGCAATTTAAAAATACGAGAGAGTATTTTTGCTCACCGCCCTTAATTGGTGATGACTATTACTGCCACGTTCATTGTGGCGGGATTGATGAGTCTGATTATCTATCTACTACACCAATTTCCAAAATTAAAATTTTAAACTTTCCAACCCCAACCATTTAAAAGAAACCAAATTCCTATAATTCTTTATAGAAGAGAATACCTCAAGGCCGGCTTCAGAAAAAGAAAGGATGCTATGCGGCTATAAGCGTTTAAAACAATAACAGGGACAGTAGAGTTCCATTCCAACATGACAAACCAACTGAAGCATAGTAGTTTGCTTATGTTAAAGTAAATAGAAACGACACTGCTGGCTCACGGCATTTTGTAGATATCGATGGCTTTTATCTCTATCAAGCTCATTCACTAAACTAGCTAGACCAAGTCTTAAAAGTACTTATGATGTTGTGATAGATTAAAAATTATATATAAGCTTCACTAAGTCAAGCATTTTGTGCATTTCCTTTTATTCTCTTTGCTCACTAAGAATGTGTTCTCGATCTCCAAACCCAGAAGCCCAAAAGAAGCATTTTGTGCTGGTTCATGGAGCTGGCCATGGAGCATGGTGTTGGTACAAGTTGTCAGCTCTGCTGACCTCTGCAGGTCACAATGTTACAGCTCTAGACCTAGCAGCATCCGGAGACAACCCAAAACAGATAAATCAAGTCCATTGCTTCGCGGACTATGTTGAGCCATTGATTGAATTCATGGAGTCTCTTCCACCAGATGAGAGGGTTATCTTGGTGGGCCATAGCATGGGCGGGGCCGGCATATCTATTGCCATGGAGCGGTTCCCTGAGAAAATTTCTGCGGCTGTATTTGCCACCGCGTTGATGCCTGGCCCTGCTATCAGTTACTTGACCATATTTGAAGAGGTATAGTTATGTATAAAACGATATTCTATCATAATTTAATCTAAATTATCGGGAGAGAGATTCGAATTCGGTGCAAAGTGGAGAGATATTCTATTACGGAGAGGGAGATTCGAATTTGGGTGCAAAATGGGGAGCAATTTTGTTGATTATTATATTACTAATTATAATATGTTACAGGTTAGTAGTAGATTGGAATTTATGGACTCTCAATATAGATTTGATAAAGGACTCAACAACCCTCCAACATCGGCAATTTTTGGCCCTCAACGTATGACTTCAGTGTTCTACCAGCTCTCGCCACCAGAGGTAAATCTTTAGGAAAAAATGCGAGAAATTGTTTGAGATATATCTATATACTATTATATAAACTTGGAAAATGTCAATTATTCACATTTTAAGTAATTAAAATAAATATAAATATAAATTTTAAAATGAGTTATTTCATGCAATGGTTCCTAAATTTATATCAGAATTTCATTTTGGTATTCCAACTTGGTTTTTAGTTTTTGTCATCCTTCCTCTATCCCACGCGTTCCAATTTCGTCATTTTGTCAAATTTCATAAATATTCTCGTCTATTAGAGAACCAAAGTATGAAACTCGGGTATAAATTTAGAAACCATTGACGGTTAAAAACAACCCTATTAAAATTAAGGGTACTATAGTAATTGTCCCCATTTTATGCATGTGGAGGAGTCTAGTCTACATCCATCTAGGTTCAATTTTCCAATTGGTTAGAGCATCTACAATCATGCTCTTTATTTTTTAGTTAAAATTTAGTTTAAAACGTATAAAAGCTATTTTAGGAGCTCTCGATAAAATTTTAACTACAATCATACTCTCTAGTTTATTGAGTCATAAATGTTATAACTCTTTTTTAATTAGTCCATCTCTATTAAAAAATAATATAAAAAATAGTTAGCATTAATTAAAGATTTAAAATACTCATAAAATAAAGCAACATTAAATTATAGGGAGTCACTAAGAGTCCTTTCTCTCTCCTCAAATTTAGGAGCTTCTAGAAGTCTCCATATTTTAGGAGGTGGATAGGGAGTATGGTTGGAGTTGTATTTTTCCAATTCCTCCTTAAAATTTGTCTAAAATGAAGGTTTAGGGAGCCCATTGTAGATGCTCTTAAGCTTCTACGTAACGTTTCCTATTTTTTCTTTAATTTGTTTATTTATTTTTTATTTGGATGTCAACAGGACTTAGCACTGGCGTTGTCATCGCTGAGATTTTTCCCTCTCTTTGATGAAGAAATAAAACTCACCAAGGAGAAATATGGGTCGGTTCCTAGAGTATATATCGTGTGCGACCAAGACCTTACCATTGGGGAGGATGTTCAACGGTGGATGATCAAGGAAAATCCTCCACATGAAGTCAAAATGATAAACGGCTCTGATCATATGCTCATGTTCTCCAAACCGCAGGAATTCTTCTCCACCCTCCAAGAGATTTCTGATCAATATTCCTAAACATCGTGAGCACCTGATCAATTACAGCTAGGAGCTTGTCATCATTGTAGATGATGCAGTTATACTAGCTAGCCTTTCTAACCCACTAAAATTGTGAAAAATAAAATTGCCAATTAGTTGGTGTAATAAATTCCAATATATACACTTTTTAGTAAGCATTTAAGTTAAGGATTGGTTACATATATATTTCTAATCTCGGTCGTTAGATTGCATCTAAGAGACTACCAACACATTTAATGAATGCAATTCAATGACCAAGATTAGAAGTATGTAACCAATTCTTAACAAAAAATACTTATTGGAGAATCTCCCATGTCAAAAGTATATATCTATATATATAAAGCAAAAGCCAGAGAATGGTGAAACATTCAAAATACCAGAAAATGCCCTTGGTTAATCCAAACATTAAGAATTAAAATTATTAATTAAATGAGGATAATATGGCAAATTCACTTTTTTTCATATTAAAAAAAATTAAAAGAAAAAGAAAAATTAGATAATGAATCCTATTTTTATGGAACACAACTACCCATTATTTTTTTTAATTCAAAAATAAATTTAAATTTTTTAAAAAAAAGCCACTCGCAGGCGCGGAAGTGCATGCAGAGAGGCTAGTATATATATATATATATATACAGTCCCCTTATATTGAGGCATTCCTTACAAATTTTTTTTTTCCAATGATCCAAACCATCTATTTTATAGGTCTTCATTTATAGATCATCCTTACAAAAAATTAGACAAATCGGAAACCGTTTCGACATCCAATTATGTCCTAGAAAATCAATGCAGATGGTGCTTTAAGAAAGTACTAAAATTTCAATAACTCAATTGAGTGGTCAAATGATATCGGATTCAAGTGATTTTTTGTAGAGATGATCTTTGAATGAGTATCTACAAAATAGACGGTTTGAATTAGTGAAATAAAATCTGGAGCGGGCCCTACAAGGGGTGTCCCTCAAATAAGCTTATTTGAGGGATCCCTCAATGGAAGCTCTCTCTCTCTCTCTCTCTCTCTCTCTCTCTCTCTCTGTGTATATATATATATTTCACTCTCTCTCTCTCTCTCTCTCTCTCTATTAATCTTATGTAATCTTTTCTTTTTGGGGAATAAAGGTATTTTTTGTTGTTGAGATTGTATGATATCATAGATGAGCCTTTATTTGAGGGAAAAATTAAAAGTGAAATAGTTTGCAGAAATTTCTTCCTAATGATGCACATTTGTAGTTTACCAAACAAATAGAAGTAAAATATTTTGCACAACTCTTTTCCTTGAATCCCTAGCCTCTTCCGCTCGTTGACCAAGAGAAAATATGCAATCCTGCTTACTTCAAGATTTTCTTTTTGAAGAATCGGCATGCACCTCAGACTACAAAAATGAGAACAATATAGTTGAATACTGGTCATCAATGTCTTCTTAATTTTGCTAACTCAACAGCCAACGGGGTCTAGCCGAATGAAAAAAGGCCTTAACTTGCATACTAAAGGTCTCAGATTTGAACTCCCTATGACATCTTAATTGTGTGTGTGTGTGTGAAAAATACCACATTCCATGTAATTTAGACAATCGCTTGTACTAAAAAAACATTTGCTACCTCAACAACTTAAATACCCTTAGGGCACTTACTTAGTACTATTAAATTATACAGAATTGCATAGATGTTCTTGAATTTTCCAAAATAAATAAAGGTCGTAATTCCTATCATTCTTAAAAAGAGAAAAATAAATTCCTTGACGTGGGATTAAGACAAACTCAAGGCCGGCTTTCCACTCCTAGGCGGCTTTAGGCGTTTAAAACAATAATAAGGGGAACGCTAGAGATGCACACACCAACATATGACAATAAAACTAAGACTATACCAAATGCCAAGCAAAGATTGATAAATTAAATAACAAGGGGCATATGTGATCGGCTGAGCATTTTGAGTATTTCGTTTTATTTGTTTGCACCTCATCTCCAACCCTAAATGCCTTTAAGAAGCATTTTGTGCTAGTTCATGGAGCTAGCCATGGAGATGGAGCATGGTGTTGGTATAAGTTGTCAACTCATCGAATAACTAAACAATCTCCAATTTGAATGAGTTTTTGCACATATGATCTTTTGTGATTTAAAAAATGAACGGTTTAGATAATGACACGTATATTGTGAAGATTACTTAATCACATTCCAACTTCTCAAGATACCCACCCAAGACATCCAAGGCACCCAAAACCTTACAAAAGGTCAGTTCAAGATGCAAAAGGATATGGATGAACCTAAGCATATTCCTTTCTTGTATTCTTTTATACAATTCTAGAGACGTCTTGTATAGAACTTTATATACTCTCAAATGTATATAAACCAAATGCAAGAAAAGCCGAGCTGCAATTTAAATGCTGAAAAGTCAAAGTATTCTATGTTGCTGCTATCTTGTCCATTTCTTCTGTTATGGAAACTTCAACACGCATGCCTGACTAAAAAAAGATAATACACAAAAAGAGTGACAGATGCATGCATGGTATGGGTGGACAATCTGGCAGCCTCACCGCATTTTGTATGGATAGCGTTTATCTTTAGCAAGCTCATTCATAAATGTCCCAACTTTTGTGAAAGATAAAATCAATCAAAATCAAAGAATTTGTACTTTTGTTTTCAGAGAAGATTCAAAATGGACTTGGAGAATTATGACTTTGCCACTCAGAGAGGAATAACTACTGCACACGCACGCGCATACCTCTAGTTATATTTTGTCAATTATTCAATGACTTCTCAGATTGCCAACAACCATAGAATTTTCATCTAGATTAAGCATATGCATGATATATATATGCCAAGAAAAGAGGCCAAAAACCTTAGAATTTTTAGTCTCTCTTTGCTCACTAAGAATGTGTTCTCGATCTCCAAACCCAGAAGCCCAAAAGAAGCATTTTGTGCTGATTCATGGAGCTGGCCATGGGGCATGGTGTTGGTACAAGTTGTCAGCTCTGCTCATCTCTGCAGGTCACCATGTTACAGCTCTAGACCTAGCAGCATCTGGAGACAACCCAAAACTGATAAATCAAGTCCATTGCTTGGCGGACTATGTTGAGCCGTTGATTGAATTCATGGAGTCTCTCCCACCAGAGGATAGGGTTATCTTGGTGGGCCATAGCATGGGTGGGGCCTCCATATCTATTGCCATGGAGAGGTTCCCTGAGAAACTTTCTGTTGCTGTATTTGCCACCGCTGTGATGCCTGGCCCTACTTTGAGTTACTTGACCTTAGTTAAACAGGTATAGTTATGAGTTCCACACATATACCCTTGAAAATATATTTACTAATAAATTAATAATATGTTACAGGTTGTTAGAAGATTGGAAATAAAGGATTCTGAATATAGATATGATAAAGGACCCAACAACCCTCCAACATCGGCAATTTTTGGTCCCCAACGTTTGACTTCAGTGTTGTACCAGCTCTCCCCCCCAGAGGTAAATTTTGAGGGAAAAAGGCCAGAAATTGTTTGAGATATATCGATCTATACTATTATATAAACTTGGAAAACGTCAATTATTCCCACTTTAAGTAAAAAAAATCTAAATCTAGAATTTAAAATGGGTTATTTACTACAATGGTTCTTGAATTTATACCCGAGTTTCATTTTGGTATTCCAACTCATTTTTTAGTTTATATCGTCCCTATCTCATGCATTCCAATTTCATCATTCAGTCAAATTTCGTAAATTTTATGATGTCAACACAGGACTTAGCACTGGCGTTGTCATTGCTGAGATATTTCCCTCTCTTTGATGAGGAAATAAAACTCACCAAGGAGAAATATGGGTCGGTTCCTAGAGTATATATCGTGTGCGACCAAGACCTTACCTTAGGGGAGGATGTGCAACGGTGGATGATCAAGGAAAATCCTCCACATGAAGTCAAAGTGATCAATGGTTCTGATCATATGCCCATGTTCTCCAAACCGCAGGAATTCTTCTCCACCCTCCAAGAGATTACTGAAAAATATTCCTAAACATCGTAAGCACCCACCTGATAAACTATAGCTAGGAGCTTGTCATCATTGTATAGATCGATGCAGTCCAACCAAAGTCGTCTCCTACAACATATGTTTTCTGCGAAGCTTCTAGTGTACGCGGCAATATTGCTGTTATTACCACCCTTACCAAAAGAACGGAGAAGTTCATTATATCCGTACCCTATATAGGGAAATATGTATATGTATGTATCAAAATTTACATGACTGTATAAGCCTAACCCCTCTTGTCCCTCTGTATCTGCCAGTGATAGCTTGAAAAGAATACGCGACAACTATTTATAATGAAGTCAAATTATACGTAGTTACACACAAATAGCTAGCTAACATATTTTAAATTTTAAAAACAAAACTTTGGCCTTTGGAATCGTTAACCAGCTAGCAGTCTGGCTGAAGGAATTTTGGACGTACATGGGGCGATCTTGATCAAGCTTAACTACTAAAACTATATTATTGTATGAAAGATTCAAAATCAAGTAAAACCAAAGAATATATTTTTCTTTATGCAAATTGTAATGTGTTGTTTTTAAAGAAAGTTGGAGTTCGAGATTGGCTTTTGGCACTTAGGGAGGATTAGCCTACACACATGCACTAAACCTGAATATTTTTGAGATAATTATTCACACTGACTTTTTAGATTTTCATATTCATTTCAGAAAGTTTGATTAATTAAGATTAAGCAGAATCTTAATCTGTCTTCGAACGCCAATTGAAGGACTTGCTCCAGTATTAAAGCGAGACTAGACCACACTGCTATTGGTCAAGGAATTAAGAGAAGGGTTTTGAGCACCATATAGAGCCTATCAAAGTTAAGCATGTTGTGTCTTTCTTCTTGTTTCTTTGCTTGGCAAGAATTTGCACCTCATCTCCAGTTGGGAAGAAGCATTTTGTGTTGGTTCATGGAGCATGGAATTGGTATAAGATGACAAATCTACAGACCTCAATCGGTCGATGACAATGTCACAGCTCTAGACCTAGCTGCAGCCGGGATAAACCCAAATCAGGTACAACAACTCTATTCCTTATCGGACTATGTTGAGCCGTTGATTGAATTTATGGAGTCTCTTCCATCAATGGAGAGGGTTATCTTGGTGGGCCATAGCGTGGGTGAGGCTGCCATATATATCCACCGCCATGGAGAGGTTTCCTGAGAAAATCTCTGCCGCGGTATTTGCCAACGCTTTAATGCCTGGTCCTGCTCTCCCTTACTTGACTGTATTTGATAAGGTAACAACATATCATATTGATCCTTATTTTTACTTAATTTTTTTTTTTATATTATGCCAAGATCGTGCTATATAGTCGAGATATGGGTTAAGATGAGAATACGAGGTCTCGACTCACATACGAAATTTCTAAAAAATTGTAGGAAAAAAAAAAAGTTAGATGAGATTTCTAGTTGATTTTTTTTTATAGGAAAAATTAAGATTTCATTACCACCAACCATCGGCTACAAGCGAATGGTATGTAAATAATTGGCCTCATTAAAACCTTGCCGAAAAAAATTCAGTGGGACAAAACTCCGGGGGAGATTTTTAGTTGATATGTTTAATGTGAATATGGATAATTAATATATTTAAAAAATATACAGGTCGTCAGCGGAATAAATTTTATGGACTCTGAATACAGATTTGATCAGGGACCTTACAATCTTCCAACCGCAGTAATCCTTGGGCCCAAGTTTTTGTCTTCGTGGATGTACGCCCGCTCTCCTCAACAATGGTAAGTCCCAAAAAATATATAATAACTAAAGAAATTCTTGTCTTCAGGGTTAATTAGCTAATACATTTCGTCTTCTCAATTTTTTTTTTCCTTTCATGGTTTGGTGATGTTTCCATGGCCAGGATTTAACACTATAGCGTTGTCATTGGTGAGAATTTATCCTCTCTTTCGTGATGAAATAAAACTCACCAATGAGAAGAATGGATCAGTTCATAGAGTATTCGTCGGGTGCGATCAAGACCGTACATTAAACCAGGATTTGCGACAATGGATGATCAATCAAAATCCGCCGGATGAAGTCAAAGTGATCAATGGTTGTGATCACATGGTAATGTTCTCTAAATCGCTGGAGCTGTTCTACTACCTCCAGAAGGTTGCTGAATGCTGAGAGTTGTTAAATATTCATAAAATTAAAAACAATAAAAGAAAAAAATATTAAAAATAAAGTGAGCACCTGGCAACTAGCTAGGAGCTTTATCCTCATTGTACAATAATTTATGATGCAACCACATATGAATAAATTTGGAGAAAAATTAAAGTAAGTTAATTGGTGTAATAAGTCGGAGGATGAAGATCCTATGTTGGACATGAATAATAATATATAAGAGGGATTCCTTAACCTCTTTCTTTGATTCCTTAACCTATTTGTAATTTGGAATTTCCAAATGACCAATCTTTTTATACATCTTCATCTCTAATTCTAAATGTTTGGTACTATTAGCTTGTCACATCTTCAATCCGATCAAACAAATACATTAGAAATATATTAGAAATTAGCTTAACATCAAACAAATATATATTAAATGCAACCGAAAGCCACATATTATGAAAATGAAAATATGTCCAACAATAGAATTAATAGTATATAGATATTATCAAAATAAAAATATGTTTAACAGTCGATGCCATTAGACAAGAAATACCACCCCACACTCAAACCTCTCAAGACACCCAAGGCAACCAAACCATATCCAGCACAAGGTTAGCTCATGAAAGGTCTTCTAAATCTTTATTAGATTTGAAATCAAATTTTTAAATAATTGAATAGTTTGTCAGCAGCCTCGCCGCATTTTGTATAGATAGAGTGTGTCTTGGGCAAGCTCATTAAGAATTTTTGTTTTTGTTTTTAAAGAAGATTGCTAGCAACATGGACTTGGGGATTATGACTTTGCCTCTGAGGGAGGATTAATTAATTCACGCATATCTTATAGATATACTTGGACAATAATTCACTGACTTTTCAGATTGCCAACATCATCTGAAATTTTTTATCTAGATTAAGCAGATTCATGATATATAAAAGTAAGACTAGACCAAATGCATAGAAATCAAGGCTTAATAGAAGGAAGACTTTAGACTGGACAACAATTCTTTTCCTTTTCTGTGTAATTACCTTAGACATAGGATCTGGAGATTTCTTTCCTTTTGTATTCCTTAAGCTTTGTTATATATCTGTAATCTTTGTACAGTGATCAATACAGTAAACATTCACCATATTTTCTTATATGGTATCAGAGAGCAAAACATCTGATCCCTCTTTGCTCTTCCTGCAATCTTCATCATGACAAATACCAAAGAAAGCAGTGTCACACCGAAAACACAAAAATCCGTCAACCAGGAAACTAATTCAATACCTGATTATGCAGTTTCTTCACCACTCTACCTTCATCATTCAGATAACCCTGGCGCTATTATTGTCTCCAAGCCTCTTATAGGAGATAATTACCCTACCTGGAGTCGAGCTATACGCAGAGCTCTGGAAGACAAGAACAAACTTGGATTCATTGATGAAAGCTTGACCATGCCTACAAAAGCATCCCCAGATTATGACCAATGGATTGGCTGCAATAGTATGGTGAATTCTTGGATTGTCAATTCACTTTCTGCAGAGATCTCCAACAACGTCATTTATATCGAGAGTGCGCTTGATGTCTGGACTGATCTCAAGGAACAATTTTTGAAAAAAAAAAATGCTCCACGCATATTTGAGATACATCGAAGTATATCTAATCACCACTAAGGGACGTCTTCTATGTCAACCTATTACAATGTTCTCAAAGGATTTTGGGATGAACTCTCATCGTACACATCTGTGGCTCCTTGTTCCTGTGGTGCCACCAACTCTCGTAATGATATCTTAGAGGAGTGGAGACTCATGCAATTCCTCACAGGCCTTAATGAAGTATTGGTTTGTTTAACAAAATATTTATTCAAAGATCCTCTTAAACTTTGAGCAATTTCTTCTTTTTTTTTCTTTCTTTGTCTCTTGAGATTTCCGGAAATTTGTTTCTTAGGAAACATTTTTTAATTTTTATAATAAACACAACACAATAAAAAATAATAAAGCTAATTAACAAAGAACAATAAAACCTGGATTTTGAGCATATTTTCTTCAACTTGAAACTTCCAATTATAAAGAACAAGAATCCTAGCCAAATTTTTTGTTGAATCAAATAATAAAGAAGAAAAAGTTAATAAATATATGTATTACAATTTACAAAATTTATACATCTAGATTCTATATAGATCTATAAAAAAAAAAATTACCTTCAAAGAAAGGCACTGGTCTAGCTTGTGGATGATTTATTTTCCAACTCTGTTTTGAAGAAGACGAGAATCACAAAAAAAACAAAAAAAATTTGCTTGCGTTATGAACTTCAACTTCTAAGAAGGTCGAAGGTTTTTTTTTTTCTTCTTTTTGTGACTAGAAAGTTTGTTTTGATTTCCCCATATTTTGTTTATTTGTTTTATATTATATTGTATAATTAATAAGGGACTTTTCTTCCTCATTATGTTTCTTCTTGAGATTGCCCCTTGAATTTGTACCTAATTATCAATTTACCCCCTAACCTTTTTTTTAACAAAATTAAGGACTTGAATTAAATTTTATTCTCAATTTCCCCCCTGCCGTCCAAATCAAAAAACATGTCATCCAATAATCCGTCAAATCATTAAAAAAATTAAAGAAAAATATATATTTTTTGAAAAAATTAAAGAAAAAAAAGAAAAAAAATTTGGGCCCCATCAGTTGTGGGCCCCGGGTGTAACCCTGGTAGCCCTGGCCCAAGGCCGCCTCTTGCTGCTATCTTGTCCATTTCCTCTGTTGTGGAAACTTCAACACACATGCCTGACTAAAAAAAGATAATACACAAAAAGAGTGACACATGCATGCATAGTATGGGTGTGGACAATCTGGCAGCCGACCGCATTTTGTATGGATAGCGTTTATCTTGAGCAAGCTCATTCATAAATGTCTTAACTTTTGTGAAAGATAAAATCAATCAAAATCAAAGAATTTGTCCTTTTGTTTTCAGAGAAGATTCAAAATGGACTTGGAGAATTACGACTTTGCCACTCAGGGAGGAAAAACTACTGCACACGCACGCGCATACCTCTAGATATATTTTGACAATTATTCACTGACTTTTCAGATTGCCAACAACCTTAGAATTTTCATGCAGGCCAAGAAAATAGACCAAAAACCTTAGAATTTTTAGTCTCTCTTTGCTCACTAAGAATGTGTTCTCGATCTCCAAACCCAGATGCCCAAAAGAAGCATTTTGTGCTGGTTCATGGAGCTGGCCATGGGGCATGGTGTTGGTACAAGTTGTCAGCTCTGCTCATCTCTGCAGGTCACCATGTTACAGCTCTAGACCTAGCAGCATCTGGAGACAACCCAAAACAGATAAATCAAGTCCATTGCTTCGCGGACTATGTTGAGCCCTTGATTGAATTCATGGAGTCTCTCCCACCAGAGGATAGGGTTATCTTGGTGGGCCATAGCATGGGTGGGGCCTCCATATCTATTGCCATGGAGAGGTTCCCTGAGAAAATTTCTGTTGCTGTATTTGCCACCGCTGTGATGCCTGGCCCTACTTTGAGTTACTTGGCCATAGTTAAACAGGTATATTTATGAGTTCCACACATATACCCTTTTGTTTAATTTTTTCCATATACCCTTGAAAATATATTTACTAATAATAATATGTTACAGCTTGGTAGTAGATTGGAAATAAAGGATTCTAAATATAGATATGATAAAGGACCCAACAACCCTCCAACATCGGGAATTTTTGGTCCCCAACGTCTGACTTCAGTGTCGTACCAGCTCTCGCCCCCAGAGGTAAATTTTGAGGGAAAAAGGGGAGAAATTGTTTGAGATATATCTGTACTATTATATAAACTTGGAAAACGTCAATTATTCCCATTTTAAGTAAAACAAATCTAAATCTAGAATTTAAAATGGGTTATTTACTGCAATGGTTCTTGCATTTAAACCTGACTTTCATTTTGGTATTCCAACTCATTCTTTAGTTTATGTTGTCCTCCCTCTATCTCACGGATTCCAATTTCATCATTCAATCAATTTTTGTAAATTTTTCTGTCTATTGGTGAAACTCGGGTATAAATTTAGAAACTATGACGGTTAAAAAAAAAACTAATGGTGGACCTAAAAATATTTGTAGGGGTGGGCTAAAATTTTTTTCAATATATTTTCTTCATCATATTTAGAACTTTTTGTTATTATACGACATTTCAAACAGAAAAAATATTGGAATTATTGATAATATTATTGAAATATTTGGAAGAGATTAAAGGGAAACAAAGAAAGAAAGAATTTTTTTTTTGTCCATGGCAGTCTGATTTATTTCTTTGATTGGTCCAGATTGAGCCCTACACGATAAGCCTAATCTCAAAGTGAGCACATGCTAGCCTATTCGTGCATCCGCCCTTGAAAAAAAAACCTATTAAAATTAAGGGTGCTATATAGTAATTATGCCCATTTTATGCATGTGGAGGAGTCAAGTCTACATCCATCTAGGTTCAATTTTCCAATTGGTTAAGCTTCTACGTTTCCTCTTTTTTCTTTAATTTGTTTATTTATTTTTTATTTGGATGTCAACAGGACTTAGCACTGGCGTTGTCATCGCTGAGATCTTTCCCTCTCTTTGACGAGGAAATAAAACTCACCAAGGAGAAATATGGGTTGGTTCGTAGAGTATGTATAGTGTGCGACCAAGACCTTGCCATAGGGGAGGATGTGCAACGGTGGATGATCAAGGAAAATCCTCCACATGAAGTCAAAGTGATCAATGGTTCTGATCATATGCCCATGTTCTCCAAACCGCAGGAATTCTTCTCCACCCTCCAAGAGATTACTGAAAAATATTCCTAAACATCGTAAGCACCCAACTGATAACATATGTTTTCTGCGAAACTTCTAGTGTACGTAACAATATTGCTGTTGTTGCCACCCTTAGCAAAAGAACGGCGAAGTTCATTATACATAGGGAAATATGTATATGTATGTATCAAATGCCTTGTCACAATTTACATGACTGTATAAGCCAACTTTCCGGTAGCTATGTGGGTCGCCTAACATGAATTGCTATCCTTTACTTTACGCACTCTCATTTCAATTATTTAATTTATGTAATTTACATTACGCAATCGTCTTTACATTCTTTATTTTACGCACTTTAAATTGCACACTCGTCTTTAAATTATTTATTTTATGCACTTTACTTTCCGCACTTATCTTTTAATTATATTTAAATTCAAGCACCTTTTACTTTACGCACGTGTTCTTCGTTTCATTACATTTCACCTTCAATCTTCATTTTCACCCACTCCACATCATTTGGTTGCTCACATAAAGCCTTGACTCCGAGGTAGTGAAAGAACCTAGGCCGTGAGGAGGTTCCTTGCTCGGCCGAACAATCGTTTGATTAAAGTCAGATTTTGGACGCATCATCTACTCACATTCCATTCAAGCCTAATTCGTGGCTTGGTGGTGGCACGCCCCGCACTCAATTAAAGAAGGACCAAAAACTCCTTCTATCGGCCTACCCGACCGAAAAGAACGAAACAATAACTGAAATTAATAATCCATTGGTTGTAAATGGGTATACAAAGTCAAACGAAATTCGGATGGTACCATCAAGCGGTTTAAAGCTCGTCTCGTTGCTAAAGGTTACACTCAACGAGAGGGTGTTGATTACAAAGAGACTTTCTCTCCTGTTGCAAAATTGGTCACCGTTCGGGTTCTCCTTACCATTGAGGCCTCCAAGGATTGGCCTCTTCATCAATTAGACGTCAACAATGCTTTTTTGTATGGTGACTTACATGAAGACGTCTATATGCAGCCTCCGCCTGGTTATGTCCGTAAGAGGGAGAATCTTGTTTGCAAGTTACATAAATCGCTCTACAGACTTAAACAGGCTTCCAGGCAATGGTTTGCCAAATTTTCACATGCCATTCTTGACGCTGGTTACATTCAATCCAAAGTCGACTACTCTCTGTTTTATAAACACAAAGGTATCTCCTCAGTGTTTATACTAGTGTATGTTGATGATGTAATTATCACAGGTTTAGATGCAAATGAGATTTCCAAGCTTAGGAACTTCCTACATTAGCGATTCAAGCTAAAAGACTTGGCAATCTCAAATATTTCCTTGGGATTGAGGTGTCAAGATCATGAAGAGGCATTTGTTTGAACCAACGACAATATGCTTTGGATATTATCAAAGACGCAGGTTTATTGGGAGCTAAACCTGAGCCTTTTCCCATGGAAGAAAATCTAAAGCTCAACAATATTGATGGCAATCTACTTAATAATCCAGCCTCATATCGCTGCTTGATTGGAAGACTTATTTATCTAACAGTTACATGACCAGATATTCTTTTTGTAGTTAATATCCTCAGCCAATTCTTGCACCAACCACGCCAACCACATATGACAGCTGCCACACGTTTAGTTCATTACTTAAAGGGATCACCAGGTCAAGGTATTCTATTATCCTCTCATAATGAATTAAAATTGCAAGCTTTTTGTGACTCAGATTGGGCAAGTTGCTCCATGACAAGAAGATCAACAACGGGTTATTGTGTGTTTCTCGGAACAAGTCCAATTTCATGGAAAACCAAAAAACAACCCACTGTATCTAGGTCCTCATCAGAAGCCAAGTATAGGGCAATGAGAGTAGCTACATGTGAACTACAATGGCTACAATATCTTTTACAAGATCTTGGTATATCACATTCTTTTCCTAGTACATTTTATTGCAACAATAAGGCTGCCATATATATAGCAGCAAATCCGGTCTATCATGAGCGAACCAAACACATTGAAATTGATTGCCATGTTGTTCGTGAAAAATTTTAAGATGGAACATTACGTACTGCATTCACTACAAGAAAAAAGGTTAGTAGTGACCAATTTCCTTGTGACCACATAAATAATGGTCACAAATACAGTGAATTTAATGACTAATAATACTACATGGTCACTAAAATAATTTACCCTTATTTTTTAATTTTTAATGACCAAATTTTCTGACCATTATTTAAATTAGTCACTGAAAACAACTTAAATTATATAGTAAGTGACGAACGCATATGCCAAGATAGCCTTACTTCTCTCATTTAATACATCAGTGACCAATTAACTCTTTTGGATTAATGACCTAAATGGTCCCCAAACTATTGCCCTAGTATCATTTTGGTCCACAAACTAAAATTTTCAATTGAAACGTCCTTAAACTTTTCATAATGTACCAATATGGTCCATCCGTCAAAGTCTGTTTATTATTCCATGAAATCGAGGGACAAAATCGTATTTTTAGGTGAGTATCATCTTGTAAAAGGGTTAATGACCTAAATGGTCCCCAAACTATTGCCCCAGTATCATTTTGGTCCACCAACTAAAATTTTCAATTCAAATGTCCTTAAAAGTTTCATAATGTACCAATTTGTTATTGTGCTTAATTTCTTTTCTTCTTTATTTATAAATAAAATAAATTGAATTTGATTGTTAGGGTTCTTGTTATAGGTGGAGAGCTGTTAAGAAATTAGATTTTTCTGTTGACTCTGAGAGTATGTTGAGTGTTGAATCCATTGATGCACAAATTGAAATGGCCCCAAATTCTAACCCTAAACCCAAGCTTTCAACAACCACCCCATACATTCCACCGGAGCTTGTGTTCGACATTCTTTTACGGCTTCCGCCCAAGGATTTTATGTGATTCGTGTATGTTTGTGAAGCTTGGAATGCCATCATCCATGGCCGACATAAAGATTGAAACTTGCTGAATTGCTAACAATGAATCTTGCAACAATTTAGTGGCAGTTGGGAGGGAGGAGGAAGAAGAAGAAAATGGGAGTTTTGGGGACCAAAATGATACTGGAGCAATAGTTTGGGGACCATTGAAATCAATAACCCAGGAGTTTTGTGTTAGCTTCGCAAAAAGTCGTATATACCCTTCAAAAACTCAGTCACGTGGCCATCGTGTGATCAGAAGTCACGGAATCTGTAACGGATGGACCATATTGGTACATTATGAAAAGTTTAAGGACGTTTGAATTGAGAATTTTAGTTGGCGGACCAAAATGATACTTGGGCAATAGTTTGCGGACCATTTAGGTCATTAACCCAACTCTTTTTTAAACTTTTTTATTTTTATTTTTTTTGGTAACACGCTCGCGTACCGCATCAAAAGGAAAACAAAAAAGACGAAACGAGACAAGAGCGAAATCCGAACGAGACCAACGCGAGCTCAGAGCGAGCGAGACAAGAGCGAGAGACCAGCGCGAGCGAGACCATCTTCTTCATCGAGCCAGCGTCCTCTTCGTCGTCCTTTTCATCTCTGTGGTTTTGATTTCTAGGTTTTCTCCCAATATCATGTGAGCTTTCTATTTCTCTTTGGTTTCAATGTAAGTTTTGATTTCATTTGAGTTTGATTTGAGTGCGATTGTGACTCTGATTCTGATTCTCTATTCTCTATTCTCTAATTCCCTAATTCCCTAATTCTCTTTTCACTGTGATTTTGAGTTCCACTGTGATATCAATTTTCCTAACTATGATTTTGTTTTTGGTATATTTTGTGTTTTGGGTTTACTGGATGAAAATATTATTGCATTACTCTTGTATGTTTACTGGATAGAAGTGATGGCTCCTGTTTTCTCGAGAGCTGCCTGGCGCTGTGTATGGCATATGATCCGGGTGTGTTATTTCTCCTGGAACTTCAAGATAGCTTTTCTATTGGCCTTAGAGCAGAAAGCACAACAAATTAGCTGAACTAATATGAGGCTCATATTTTAGTCAGGTGTATGGTGTTAAGTTGTCATTTATCAGAAATTTTTTAAGTTGTTAGAAGATATACCTAATACTCTGTAAATCAAGCTTGATTCATAAACACACATTCACTCTCCCTTTCATTTCATGTATAGGATCACAGAAACAACAAATCTAAATTACATTGAAATGGTGTTAATTGTGTTTGCAGAATGACTTGATTCATGCATGGGGTGGATATGCAGCTTGGCTATTGTGCACAGGCAAGCTTCTCAATTTACTTGTTATGTCATTTTTTTTATGCTTTCTTTTCTAAGGATTTCCTTAATGCTTCCTAAAGAGGCCTTTCTGGTTTTGGTGTTTAAATAGGGTGATCGAACTAAAAATGTTGGTGTTGTGGATGCTGAGTACATAATCCATTATGGTCGCCCTACATTGGGAGGCTCAGATGAAAATGAGGTGAGAAAATGTTTGCTGTCTTTTTGGTGCAAATTTCCAGTCTGTTTGAGGCTGACTAGTTAATGTGTTATTGGTATTTTGTAGGAATCATCATCAAAATCTAGTGGAAAGGACCACAGAATTGATGTAAGTCTTGACATGTAATTTTTTTTCTTCAGTTTATTAGGATTTTACTTGGATTAAAATTGTTTGTTGTGTAATTGTGTGTAGGTGAGGAGAGAATCGTACAACGAAATCAAGGTGTTCAAAAGGAAATGGGAACGAGCTGTCAAGGATGATAATTGTTGGATTGATCCATACAAGTAAGTAGCAAAGATGGTTCTAGTGAGTGAGATGAGACAAGCTTAAGCTAGCTGAGATTAGGAATTAATATCATACACAACTTCACAAATCCACTTTCCTCAGCTTAAGCTAGCTGTGTATGGCAAAATTTCATAGCAAGAGTGAGCATTCATATCCACTTACCTCCCTATAGGAATTCCATCCATGTTCACCTTCACAAATCCAAGACGCCAATTCTCTTTAGCAGTTGTCTTATTACCAATGTTCATCTTCTTCTTAGAAGTGTCCTTTAGATTTTTCCCCATCTTCCTTGTCATCTTCAACCTTTGCAGTCTTTGCTTGGTTAACCAAGCTATTCAACGTTGCAGCACTAATAGGTGGCCATCCCACAACTTGACTGTTTTCATAACACAAAATATAACAATCAATGATCCAAAATACAAAACCAGAGATACGGAGCATTCAAAACACACTCTGCTTCCCTGGTAAGAAATCTTCGATCTCTGGCTGTTTGATTCCTAATTGGTTTTCATCTTCATTCTTGCTTTTTCTTTACTCTTATTCCTATTATGTTGTGTTCTACTTGATTGTAATATGAAATGCTATTAGGGACTCTATTAGTGGTTACTGATTAGTATTGACAGATTAACAGCCATTTCAAACTTAATTAGTTTGCTTCTTGGGGCAGGCTCTAAAATTGTTCTTAGTTATTAGCCTTTGGTTTGCCCTGGTGTGGAAACTTGGAAACCATGACCTGTATTGCCTTACCAATTTTGTTTGCATCAGAAATTTCTAGCATATGGATATGAGGAGAAGGCACTTGAGCATCGACCTCAAACAGTGGGAGAGGATGATTGGAACTATCTAGTTCAATTATGGCAAAAAGAGGAGTGGAAGGTGAGACACTATCTAGTTCCTCTTCTTGGCATTATGCTCATGCCTTATTCATTTACTGATTCCATTTTGAGAAAAGTTTTGGTAATTGATATTTTTCTCTGTCAGTCCTCTCTTCCCTGGTCAGACAGTTTTGTCCAAGGCATTATATAAACCTGACTGAGCATATTTAGATAAACTTTAAGCAACTAATTAATTAGAGATTAGAGATGCCCTAGCTAGCTCTTGAGTTTAATTATTCTTGCATTTAGTTAATTCCCGGTTTAGTGCATCCCAAGTAAGAAATGACATTATTCCTTGTTTGATGCAGGTCTGATGGATAAAGGGCAGAAGACAATCTACTAGTGATGAATCTTATGTTATTTGTTTTTGGGAATCACTTGACATTTAAGTTGAACTTAACTATGTAGCATTTTGTTTTTGAGACAACTTGTGAATTTGTTGGAAGAATGTTAGATATATGGATTGCTTTTGAATGCAATGAATTATTTGATGCTATAAATTTTATCCACAGTACTGTTTAAAAGAAATTAATTGTGATTTCATATTGTAATATAATAAATAAAGAACATGGAGAGGATAATCTAATTAGTTACCAATTTTTTGAAATACATTAGTGACCAAGCAAGTAGGTCACTAATGTGGGCAGTGGCGGAGCTAGAAGCTAATCTGTAGGGGGCCAGTATTATAAATGCAAGATTACAGAGTTATATTTCAACTAATATTGTAGTTGATGCTTAAGAAATAATGGGGTTTTCATGGAGTTTGGGGGGCCCATGGCCATAGCAGGCCTGCATGTGGCTCCGCCCCTGAATGTGGGCACGTGACCCAGTTTCAGTGATCAAAATGCATGTTTTGGTGACCAAATTGTAAGCCCTTTAGTGACCAAAGTTGTGGTCCCTAATAGTGTTTTTATTAGTGACCAGACAGGGATAGCAACTTATTCTTTGTGTTGTAGTGACCAATAGTTGACATTGGCCACTAAATAGAATTTGTGTAAGATCCCACATCGACCAACGAAGAGGGGATTGATGTGCCTTATATGTACATGCCCGCATCCATCTGGCACGAGACCTTTTGGGAACTCCGAAGTTAAGCGAGTTGGGGGCTAGAGCAATCCCAGGATGGGTGATCCACTGGGAAGTTGCTCGTGAGCTCCCAAAAACAAAACCGTGAGGGCAGAGAGGGGGGCCCTGAGCGGACAATATCGTGCTATAGCGGAGCCGGTCCCGGGATGTGACAATTTGGTATCAGAGCCACTCTGCCGTGTGGTGCGAGTGTGCCGACAAGGATGTCGAGCCACTAAGGGGGGTGGATTGTAAGATCCTACATCGACCAACGGAGAGGGGGTTGATGTGCCTTATATGTACATGCCCGCATCTATCTGGCACGAGGCCTTTTGGTAACTCCGAAGTTAAGCGAGTTGGGGGCTAGAGCAATCCCAGGATGGGTGACCTATTGGGAAGTTGCTCGTGAGCTCTCAAGAACAAAACCGTGAGGGCAGAGAGGGGGGCTCAAAGCGGACAATATTGTGCTACGGCGGAGCCGGTCCCGGAGTGTGACAATTTGTGACGAGCTTCTAGTGACCACCCAGTGACCACCAATATTTGGACACTGATTACATTCAGTGACCCAAAAGGGAAGTTTCTGTGACCAAGTGGGTGGCCACTAATACCTGTTTTTCTTGTAGTGATTCCTTCCTTCTAGAGATCAAATCGGAGCTATTTTTACAAAAGCATTGGGCAAGGAAACTTTCCTATGATTGAAAAGCAAGTTGAATCTTTTAGACATACACACTCCAACTTGAGGAGGAGTCTTAGAAATCAAGGCTTAATAGAAGGAAGACTTTAGATGGAAGTTAACGTTGTATAGCTGTCTTAATTGGACAGCAATTCTTTTCCTTTTGTGTAATTACCTTAGACATAGGATCTGGAGATTTCTTTCCTTGTTGTATTCCTTAAGCTTTGTTATATATATGTAATCTTTGTAGAAAGTGATCAATATAGAAAACATTCACCATATTTTCTTATAGACTAGACCAAATGCATTATAGTACATGCCAAGAAAAGAGAGCGAGGTTTGTACGAAACATGGAGAATATGAGAGTGAAGCATTTGGTGTCTTTCCTTTTATTTCTTAGCTTGACCAGAATCTGCACCCCATCTCCAAACCCAGATGCAAACCAGAAGCATTTTGTGCTGGTTCATGGAGCTGGTCATGGGGCATGGTGCTGGTACAAGGTGTCAACTCTACTGGCCTCAATTGGTCATAATGTTACAGCTCTAGACCTAGCAGCATCTGGGGTCAACCCAAAGCAAGTTCAACAACTTCATTCTCTCTCGGATTACGTTGAGCCATTGATGAGATTCATGAAGTCTCTCCCGCCAAAGGAGAGGGTCATCCTTGTGGGCCACAGCATGGGTGGGGCCGCCTTATCCATTGCCATGGAGCAATTCCCTGAGAAGATTTATATTGCAGTATTTGCCACCGCTTTTATGCCTGGTCCTGCTCTCAACTACTTAAATCTGTCATCTCAGGTAATGAGTTCGACAGACTCACAGATCACAACATCACACACTTTTCCAAAATATGTTAATTTAAATTATTTTTTTAAATGTTAGATTTTGATAGTCCTTTCCTTTGTAAATTATTTTACAAATATATATAAATAAATTCAGAGCCTCACCATTTGTCGGTTGTAAATTTTGACATTTTCAGGCAGATTCGTTAGCGACCGGTCGTTCACTTCTATGCGACCGGTCGTATCTAGGCAGATTCGTTCACGACCGGTCGTATCTACAAACCCATTTTGCTAGTACTGTTCGAAAAAGATTACTAGTCTATTAATCCTTAAATAAACATATCGTTACTTTATATATATGTTTTTAAAAGTAATATATATATATATGAACGATAGTTAAAACTATAAGGGGATTTTGTTATGTGTAATGCATAAATAGTAGGTTTGATTTTCTGAAGGGAATTTAGTTTTAAATTTCGAGTTCTCATTGTATAGGGATGACTAGCTAATAACACGAAATGACATGACATGATGATACAAACACGATATAATCCTTTAATATTAAACTCCAAATGTATCGACCAATTGATATATGCATAATCTTCTGACTTTTACATAAAAGAATTTCTATATATATATATATATATATGATGAATATTAACAACTATGTCTTTAAAAATTTATACAGATTTTAAACAGTGTGGATTTGATGGACAGCCAGTTTAGATATGATCGGGGACCCAACAATCCTCCAACGGCCGCACTTTTTGGGCCAAAGTTATTGTCGTCGTCAATGTACCAACTCTCACCACCAGAGGTATGTCTTTACAAAAGAAAGAACCGTAAGAATTAATTGATTTTATGCACGTGTCCTTTTAGCTAATATTTTTCTTTCTTGGTCGGGTAATGATCAACGAACAGGATTTAACACTAGCATTGTCCTTGGTGAGATTCTCTCCTCTCTTTAGTGATGATATAAAACTCACTAATGAGAAATATGGATCGGTTCGTAGAGTTTTCATTGGGTGCGACCAAGACCATATAATAACTGAGAAATGGCGAATGTTGATGATCAATAAGAATCCGCCGAATGAAGTCAAATTGATCAATGGTTCTGATCACATGGTGATGTTCTCTAGACCGCTTGAGCTGTTCTCCGACCTCAAGGAGTTTGCTGAGAGTTAGACATTCATAAAAAATGCAACCATATATGAATAAATTTTTAGAAAATAAAATGTAATCTATATGATAAACTTAACTCCGTAGATCATAAGGCTCAACAGATCTCTAAGTGTGATGTTTTAAATAAAAAAATTTAATGTCATTAATAACAGATCACCTACTTTTAAGATGTAGATTATCGTACGTACTTCTCTGATATGAGACCATAGTCACTTCCACATCCATACTTATATCGAGCCACACAACTACAACAAAAAATCTTATTGCTAGTATAGAAACACTCCGTCATATTATGAGATAGAAGAATTCTACTCAGAATATTAAAAATAAATATTCATCCAACGAATGAACGAACACAAACGAAGTTTATACAGTCTATGGGTTAACATTAATGGCAATTTAAATGCTGAAAAGTCAAAGTATTCTTTGTTGCTGCTATCTTGTCCATTTCTTCTGTTATGGACAATCTGGCAGCCTCACCGCATTTTGTATGGATAGCGTTTATCTTGAGCAAGCTCATTCATAAATGTCTTAACTTTTGTGAAAGATAAAATCAATCAAAATCAAAGAACTTGTCCCTTTTGTTTTCAGAGAAGATTCAAAATGGACTTGGAGAATTACGACTTTGCCACTCAGGGAGGAAAAACTACTGCACACGCACGCGCATACCTCTAGATATATTTTGACAATTATTCACTGACTTTTCAGATTGCCAACAACCTTAGAATTTTCATCTAGATTAAGCATATGCAGGCCAAGAAAATAGACCAAAAACCTTAGAATTTTTAGTCCCTCTTTGCTCACTAAGAATGTGTTCTCGATCTCCAAACCCAGATGCCCAAAAGAAGCATTTTGTGCTAGTTCATGGAGCTGGCCATGGGGCATGGTGTTGGTACAAGTTGTCAGCTCTGCTCATCTCTGCAGGTCACCATGTTACAACTCTAGACCTAGCAGCATCTGGAGACAACCCAAAACAGATAAATCAAGTCCATTGCTTCGCGGACTATGTTGAGCCGTTGATTGAATTCATGGAGTCTCTCCCACCAGAGGATAGGGTTATCTTGGTGGGCCATAGCATGGGTGGGGCCTCCATATCTATTGCCATGGAGAGGTTCCCTGAGAAAATTTCTGTTGCTGTATTTGCCACCGCTGTGATGCCTGGCCCTACTTTGAGTTACTTGACCTTAGTTAAACAGGTATAGTTATGAGTTCCACACATATACCCTTGAAAATATATTTACTAATAAATTAATAATATGTTACAGGTTGTTAGAAGATTGGAAATAAAGGATTCTGAATATAGATATGATAAAGGACCCAACAACCCTCCAACATCGGCAATTTTTGGTCCCCAACGTTTGACTTCAGTGTTGTACCAGCTCTCCCCCCCAGAGGTAAATTTTGAGGGAAAAAGGCCAGAAATTGTTTGAGATATATCGATCTATACTATTATATAAACTTGGAAAACGTCAATTATTCCCATTTTAAGTAAAACAAATCAAAATCTAAAATTTAAAATCAGTTATTTACTGCAATGGTTCCTGAATTTATACCCGATGTGACGTTTCCTTACGTGTTTTCAACTGTGTTTTCGATGGCTATCGCTTTCCACAAGATTTCAGAGGCTTAGTGGGTCACTTCTGAGTTAGGGAGAAGGTTGACTACCTGCTGGATAGTTGGGAGAGCACTCATGGATAATTGGTTATCTTATTTTGAATAATCTTCTCTCCATTTTCTGGATTAATGGAGGTGGCTGAGTGAGATTTTATTTACCTACTTGATCTGACATTTAGTCTAAG